ACATACACACATACATGCATACATATATAGCGATCCTCATGTGTCTTAACTATTCGAGGACCGCCCTCACTACCAGCAAACTGGCCAGAGGAGGATTTAAACGCTTGACTTAAGGGGTCTTACCTTCAAAGAGACTGCTGCTCTACCAACAGGCCACAACTGGTGACACACACACACACAAATTATTTAAGGATGCCTTCACTACCGGCAAACTGACCAGAGAAGAATTTGAACACGTGACCTGAGAGGACTTACCTTCAAAGAGATTGCTCAACCAACAGACCACGGCTGGCGGCACACACACACACACACATACACACACACACACACACACACATATATATAATAAAAATATGAAAAATACATAATCTGAATTTTTCTGTGAATCATACCCGAAAAATAATGTGTAGAACATGAGAGAGAGTGAGACAGAGAGGAAAATGCACATCTAGTCGACCTCAGGCCCCGATTTAGAGGGTTGTATCTAGTCAAGTGGGTCATTTGGTCTTCTGCAAGTGGGTCCTTTTTAGTTGTACTTCTTTGTCTCCTTATCTTTTGGACTTCTCAAGATTCATGTTGATGTAATACTAATGATTTTAGTTTCTCGATTCCCGTTTTGTGAAAGTAATAGTTGTGATAAGAATAAAAAAATGAAATGCAAAAGTAAAAATCATTTATTTCATAACCAGAGCTTTAAAAATTGAACTTCCTAGATTTTCGTGCCCATGGTTCCTATAAATAAGGCGTGACTGACTCCTTTGTTAACATACATTTGTTTTGCATCTCTGTGTTTGAGTCGATCGACTTTCAAAATTCTGTATGGTGAATGCTTTGAAACCTTCGGGAAAGACTCTCAATGCGGAAATGTTGAGGATCGCTTTTGGACTGTCAGCACTGCTATTTCATCCTGAGACTAAAATGAAGCCCGAAGGAGAGAAGAGGCCTAAGGGAAAAAAGAGGTCAAATGGAAGAAGTAGTACATAGGGTGAAATGTGGAAAAAGAAGCAAGCTTCCAAGAAACGGATGGTTGCTAATATGGAAGCAATTTGGCCGGCTTGGCTGCAAGCCCGTCGACCCAGCCTCCTGCTGTGGTTCATGACTAGAGACCGAACCACATGTCTAAGAAGTTGTTAGAGACCTTTTGCTCGAGGCACGGGAAGCCGCAATTACTCTGTCGTCTACCAAAGGTAGGAGGGCTTCTAGTGCCCCACTGCCACCTAGTGAGAGAAATTTGTCACTTTGATGGTCTAAGATGAATAAGCTCCTTGCAATGAGGAGACTCGATCTTGCTTGGTTAGATAAATTTTCTTTATCTTTACTTATATTATCTTTTGATGCAGATGAGGAAATATAGATCATTGACTCACCTTTAGGAGATGCTAGCTAAGGCCTGCACCCGAGACCGGCTGAGGCAACCCCGACGCCAGTTAGGAGAGAAGAGAATGTGGTTGACCGCCCGACCAGCCCTCCTGGTCAAAGTGAAGGACTCCTATGTTGAGATAGTCGGAATGTAGTGAGAGAAAAAAATAAAAGCGTTTTGAGAGGAGTTGGCGGCTCTTCGGTCGAAAATGGAAAACACTCAAGAGACCTACTTAATGCTCTAGATCCAGGCTAAGGTAAGAGTCTACTTCGATGAGGACTTATCTCGGCCAAAGTGGAAGATGAAGAGCTTGTAAAATATTTTCTTTTCAAATAAATTATGAGTTTTAATATTTTTGAAATAAAATTTTATTTCTATTATTATTTTTCCTTTTGAATTATATGTTCATGTGCTAGAGAAGGCGTCCAAAAATTTTGGTCGGGTGCATCTTCATTTGATCATAGCTAGAGAAGGCGTCCAAGAATCTCATCACTAAGTGGTCGACCACTAAGTCCACTAGTACGTTAATCCTCACTAATGGATAATTATTTTTTGAACAAGCAAAGTTCCGGTTTTTGAAGTCAATGCACATCCTCGACTTGTCATTTAATTTTTTCACTATCATTATATTCAATACCTAGGTCTAATATTACTCCTCTCAAACTTATCTGGCCTCTAATAGTTTCTGCACCACCGAGATTGGGCAGGCCAAGGCGACAACCGAAGACCTCATCCTTGACATCATCAGTCAAGTAGTGAGATTAGCATTTAGTAGGCGAAATGTAACATTGACCAGTATCACTAGCATTTTGGCAGCAGACCAAGAAAAAAACATCTCAATGGCTCCAGAGGGACTTGATCAGCACATTCTTTGATCTTGCATCAAAAATTTTACTTATTAAAAAGAATTTACAAACGAATCACCTTAGGTCATTGGGATCTCAAGAGTGGTTTTTCTGGACTTAAACCCCCTTTTGTGCAAGTTTTGAAGATTGAGCGGCTCTTGATCTATGCTTCTGACTGCTCAAAGGAAGCATGTTTGGGACTGCTTAAGGTTACTTCAGACGATGATGTCCTCCTTGTCTCCCTTGAACTTTACTGCCACATGATAAATTGAAGTAACAACATTGAAGTTGTTGAACAATGGCCAGTAGAAGAGGGCATTGTAGGTTGGTGGTGAATCAACCACCAAGAAATCCTTCATGTTATTGAATTGTTTGTCGTTTTCTCCCTAGGTGATTGATAGGGCTATGATTCCCAAGGCTTCTTTTCTCTATTTAGAGATGTCATGGTGTGGATCGGTAGCTGTTTTCAGTCATTCACTTCCCAAGCCCATCTTATCAAACATTGACTTGAACAGGATGTTCACGGAGCTCCTACTATCATCAATAATGCTACCAATCTCGTACTAAGGCGGTGATGAATATAACGTCATTATAAGGATTTTACTTGGGGGCAAATTTGTGTCGGTGAATGCAACGAGGAGATGTGAGCTGCATTTTGGGCCAAAGGTGGCTACTCACTTTACTCTAATCGAAGCCTCTTCAAGCTGTCTTGGTGGTATGATGCTCCACATTTGAAGATGGATGAGACCACACCAATAAGGTGAATTGCATGTGCTTAAAATGGTTCATCCAAAATTTCTTCTAATAGAGCTTTTACCTATAGCTGAGTGGTTGCTCATGATGCAACAAACTCCTTTAATTTGTTGGCCTTAATTTGCTCCACGATTAGGTTCTGAATGTATCGAAAATCCTCTATATCTTGGTTTTGATTCCGATGGTATGAGCATTACTTCTTTGGATTCTAGAGATAAACTCTGGTCTTCATCGAGAGAGATCCCTTAGAGTACTCTTTATTCTGAATGACCTCAATTATCTCACCATTGATACAATTAATGAAGTTGTCTTGGGCTCCTCACAATGAGTTAGCAGACGCTCATTGTACCAAGATGGCCGCTAATCAGGCTATCGAGACTAACTCCCACGCTTGTAGGATTTTTCGATTCCCCTGTGGTCCCTGAGGGGTCAGTTGTCTTCATAATGCGAGCGAGTAGAAGGACGTGAATCATCCTTTGCTCTATATCTGTCACCCCTGGGGACACTCTGCATAAGACAGGTGGAAGATTCTGCGATGATGAAAGTGGGGGTGAAGTTATATTCCTCGACTGATATATGGTTGTTGGTCAACTACAAAAACTCAACTAAAATCTTAAGTCGCTACAGGCCTAAAGCGTACCTAAATAGACCTTCCTTCAGCCCTTAGGCCAAGGCAACATGTGGTACTGTGGGTTTCAGACTTTGCACTTCGAACATCTCCTTAAGGAACTGAGTAATAAACGAGCGAAGGCTAACGTTCTGTCTTTGTCTTATCAACAAAAGAATTTATAAACTTTTCTGGGGCTTATGGGCCCTCGCGAATTACACTACAAATATCCTTTTGAAGTTAGCGAACGAGGTGATCCCCCCTAGTGACAATCCGTTGAACCACCTGAGAGCTGACTCCCTCAGCGTATTGAAAAAGAAATGGTACTTCAGTACATTTGTGATCCTTAGCCAACATAAGATCGACTCGAAGGGAACTATCCAACCTTAGTAATATTCTAAAGATAGGATTTTAAATCTTTATGGGGGATCAACCTCAAAGATTTGTCAATATAGCGTATTCTTTAGCTGGTGGGATGCCTCAATGCACCAAAATCACTCTATACCCATTGATATCAACCAAGCACTATCGAAGTACTAGAAATTTCCTTCCCTTTCACAAGAAACGGTGCCATTTGGTGATCAAGCACTGACCCTTCCTCTTGGGGGTTCTACACTCTTCCAAAGCCAATGCTCCTCGAAAGGCATCCATCAGCTGGTTATTGCATGAACTCCATGATGCACTATATTTTAAAGTGTTTGTTAAAGTTTTCTTCTATATGTGCTACTCTTCTAGCCGGTGACATGATTCACATTCATCGCACATTTTATGATGTTTATCTAAATTTTTCTATTAATTACACCTAATGAATATAGCATATGACAAGATAGAGAGAGCGAGAGAGCGAGTGAGCGAAAAATGCACAATAATAAACAATAATCTGAATTATTAATTAGCTTTTAATGTTTGTTCAAATAGCCGACAGCCTCTAACCCTGATATGGGAGGTTGGATTTGAACAAATGGATCCTTTAATCTCTTGTCAATGAGCCCACCTTAGTTGTATTTGTTTGTCCTTATCTATTGGATCTACTAGAGATTCATGCTAACGCATCCTAGTGTACAATATGTATTACACTCGAGTGTTTTAAATCAATGCAAGAAAAGTGCATTTATCTTTAGAAAGTGAATAGTACTATTTTTATATGTGACATTAAAGAATTGAGTTAGCGATGTAAAAATAAATATTTAGGTGTGGGATATGTAAATACATATAAATTGTGTGCAATGTACGGCTCAAATTTTAAAAGAAACATTTACATACATACACCTCAATTCCTATATATTTACATATCTAACACCTTACGCATGAAAAATGATTGTTTCACTTTTTCAAGTTAAAATGTTGATATTTTTGATTTGATATGAATAATTTGGTCGGCATGAATGTAACAAGTAAAATTTAAGTGTAAGACACGTAAATACATAGGAATGAGGTGATATGCATGTAAATGCCCCATTTTAAAAACGTCGAGAAGATTACGGAACAATAGTTAGCAGCCCTATCTCGGAAAGAAATTAAACTATTAGAGTTAATAAAACTCCTACATTGAACATACTGAATCATAGAACCTAATAAAACTGCTACATTGAACATACTGAATCATAGAACCTCAGTAATAATTTCAGATTTTACTCGGTGAAAGTTGTTGAGGCTGGAATCAGCACAAAACAAAATGCATTGGGAGAGTTTCCAATTCTTCAGTCATGAGCTGAACAGTTCCATGAAATAGCTGAACAGTTGCAAACAAGTTCATCAGTCAATCTCCCGACACGCAAGTCTTATTCTCGTAATATTTCCTCTCACTTTGTTCCTTCTTTTCATTTCGTTTCTGAACAATCATAAGCATTTTTCCGGGTTAAAAACATTCCATACACCAGAGCCAATGACACTAAAGTATTTCTTGTTTCATAAATAGTCGGTCCCTGACTATTTACATAAGATCATTTTAGTCCAAAGTTTATAAAAATAAAATTGAGCTAAAATAAACCCCAAGGAGGACTATTTTATCTCCCATTAAATGAGTCTAGGGATTAAAATGTCACTTTACCAAAACTGAAACATGGAAAAAATGATTTAATAAGTGCAAAACATTCTCTGAGATGAGCACAAGGATTATTTGAGCCAAGTTGATAGCGAAAGTAACCTGATATGCTTCATGATTAGCAACGATCCTCTTAATGATTGTGCTCGTTGTGATATCCAAAGGACTTTGAATTGTCTGAAAAATGCCCATACTCATTGGAGCAGCATAAGGATTAGATTTCTCCTGCTTGAGAGTACAATAAATCAAGACAGAAATTTGATGTTCTTTCTCAATAAAATCTTTAACATTTTAGTAATTGTAACAAACAAGAAAACTAGAATTACCATAAGACAATCCATGTTTTCTGCAACTGTTCCACGAACAACCAATGAAATATTAAAGGTTGTTATCTGCAAAAAATTGTAAATCAGGCAATCTATTTGGCACATATAGCTATTAAGTTAACATAGTTGAGGCCACAAAATATGAGAAAAAATGTTCTGATATGAATACAAAAGATTCAAATGAATAATCAGCATGATAGTAAGTACAAAGAGGTGAAATTAATCATCTTAACCGGATCCCGTTTTAATTATTATACAGAAAATGCTATCATTTCTACATTTGGGAAGAACGCAAGCAGGCTGTTGGAAGGTTCTAAAACCTCGAGAGGACATTTAGGATGCATTAGCAAAAATGGTTGGCAGCAATAGCCTCATGGCAAAATCCAAGTAGGTTGGTAGCTAGTGCTGTCAAAAAGAACTCGTAGTTCATGAACAACTCGTATTCGGCTTATTGAGTAGCTTGTGTTAGAATTGTTCGTTAAGTGAGCCATTTTTTTAAGCTAGACTTATAAACAAGCCGAACACGAACAACCCTTTGTTCGATCGTGCTCGGCTCATTTTAGCTCTAAATAAGGGAATTATATATATATATTTATTTATATAACATTATATTACATATATTTATACATAAGTTTAAATTACCACAATTCATATAGTCATCTGATTCTCTGCCTTTTATTGCAAAAGAATAATATAGAATTGAATCCAACATCCCACATCTATTTTTTTAATTAATTTAAATGAGTCAATTTCGATCCGAACAATAAAAAGAATTTGTAAATCGAGTTGAACACAGACACACTATTCACAAACTATTAAGAACACGAGTCAATTTCAAATAGAATTAATTTCTAACAAGCCGAACAAGAGCCAAACCTGAGCTTGCTCAAGCTCGGCTCATTTATAGCCCTATTGACAGCCTATTGTTGACCTTCGGATAAGCTCCAGATTGTAAAATGGTCAAATGTATCCATGATGATGGAAGGAAGAACAATCATCAACAAATTGCATGGATCAGGCTCGAGAAGCATCAAACTCAATCACAATTAATTGAGCACCTTTCATTCTAGAAAATAGACTTTGCCAACGAGCTCCAAATTTTGAGAATGATTAAGAAGGGCATCCACATTGTCAGTTGAATCACACAATGAGAAAGTGAAGCATCCATCTGAAACCAATCCAAACGTCGCCTCACTTGTATTTGCAACACATTCAGAACTTTGAAATTGCCAGAAGAGAATCTTTGCAATCAATTTAATTGGCACATGATGAACAAAACGAAGAACAACAAACAAAACAGAGCTCAATCATTTCAACCATCACTGAGACTGCCCACATAACTTCTGTTTGCAAAATGAATTGCAACATGTATAAAATATCAACCTCCTAGAAGAGATCTTTTGCAGCCAATATGACCAATTCAATTGATCGTGATAAAAAAGAAGTAATTATTTAGAAGAAATGTGAATCAAGTTGAAGTGACTCAACCATCGATGAAATTGTTTAAAAATCATCTCATCGCAAAATAATTACAACAATATGTTCGAAACATTGAAAATGTTTGGAAAAGGTACACATAATGTTCGGGTCCTAGCACTAATGTTAAACACAAAATTACTAGTGTGTGATGCCAATATCACACGATTGAAAACATGATAAACACACTAAAAGAACATTGGAGCTCTATTTCATTTTATTAATTATAGAATTTTATTCTAGAATTTTGATTTTATTTTAAAATAAAAAAAAAATTGTTTCCTACCTCACATCCGTTGCTGCCACACAACCACATCCCGTACTCATCCGTGATCTCGTTGCCTTGTGCTGTAATAAAAAAAGTGGAAACAACTAAACAAATAAAAACTAATTCTACAACACACCTCCGACAACAAGTTCTCTTGGTTTTCTCTTTCTCCTCTATCATGCTACAGAACTTTCAGCAACCCTTCACACACACGACCTCATGGCAGTTGCTATGGATCCCCATTTCCAGCACTCACATCCTCACGAGCAGACCCCCACCTACTCTCCCTCCTCACACAAAGTTCCCTCTTTGTTGCTGGTCTCGATTCATGCAGATCATCTACTCCTTCAAGCAGCCCTACCGCATACCCTGCTCCCAAGCTCCTTGCGTGGTTGAACCCAACCCCTCTGCTCTCTCCATCTTAAACTGAGACTCTAAGCCTCTAAAGATCCTATTTGAGTCCTACTCCCTACTAGCCATAACCAATTGTAGACCTTCTTCTTCTTGCATTTAATTATGTTCTTAAATCTAGTTTGGCCGTTATTTTATTTGTTTTATGCATTAGAGACAACTTTCTTTTGTTTTCCCATATCAAAGTGTTGTATCATTTGATCTCTCTTAAGTGGAGTGTTTGTAACCTGATGCATAGTAGTGGTGAACTCTCCCAAACATAAAAAAAATGTATCACGCCAACCTTTGTTGCCAACCTATTATTTCCACTTCCAACACCATTCAGACAATGTTGTACCAAAATTTTACCTGCCACCATCATTTCCCCACCTGCCACCATCATTTCCCCATTCTCATCCTTCAACTCTTGTAATTCACCCCGTGCTCTTCCCATATTCTCTAAAAATCCTAGATCAATGTCATTTTATATCAAAGTCATCCAAACTCTAAATATTTAAGGATTTATTTTTCCCTAACCTAAATATAAAATTCATAATCCTAATTCATCCAACTCGAACCATTTAAAACTTTTATGTTTGAAGAGGGCATTTAATTTTGTTAGTTTAGACTTTTAGGGTACGAGTCCTGTTAACTTCTATCCTTACAAAGAGGATGATCGGACTAGGTGATTTAAACTTGTATTTTTTTTTTTTTAAGATTTGAGCATTTATTTCAAGATTACTAGATTTGTCCTTGAGAAGAGTTGGACTACTTAGATGGGACTTAAAAACCTATCCTATAGACAAGGCGACCTGGTTAACCAGTGCAACGTTCTCGAACCTAATATTTGAGCATTCAATATAATGATTAGAGCACATGCAGGCATTAAATTTCATGTGTTTGAGCTATTTAAACTAGAGAATTTGGTATCTTAAGACAATTTATAAGATTTAAAGATTTAAAACATGGATTAAATCAAATAGCTTGAAAGAGTGCACCTTGAAAGGTTTACATAAAACTTATGGTATTTATGTTAAAACTGAATACTGTCTTAAGATTTGATAAAGTCATTAAAACATTTAAACGTCTTCAAAATTTGTGTGAATATTATGACTTCACCTTGCATATAATTTTTCATTTTAAAAATTTTGCAGCCTTCTAATTGCTAGAGGTGTATTACAAATTCAGCGGTGAGTTTGACGTATTAAATTTTTATTTATCATTTTAAAAAAATACATTTAAGCCATAAACTTAGCCCAAAGTTATGATATTTTACATTTATATCAATTTATCAGCCCCTCAGCATCGACCCAAGCAAGCTTAGCTTCAACTTATTATATTTCATATTGAAGTCAAACTCAACCGCGAAATTATGGTATACCATATTTAAGTAAAGTTCAGGCCCCAATTCATAAAATTTGTTTTTCAATTAAGTTTAACCCTCCCAATTCTTTCACATTCGAGTCATTTAAAAATTTAAGGAATTCAAACTTTCAAAATCATTTGCGAGCCTTGACAATCCAAATTCAAATATTAGTATTATTATTATTGTTTAAAATTTTGAATAATTTTAGGCCATTTTAAAAGTTTACAAAGTACAAATCTTAAATTATTTAGTAAGTCCAAATTTATTTGAAATTTTGACAGCCTTAAGGGGGTTGCATCCGGATGTCTGCTAGCATAGCTGTCTATAAAACACGTTGGTCAATGTCGTGAGACACTGCTGCTGGAAAAAAATCTTCTTATCTATCGGTTTATAAGACACGGATAGGTCGTCAATTATCCACATAATCCTCTCTTTCTCTCTCTCTCTCCTCTTTTTTCAACTTTGATTATTAAAATATATATTATATATTCTATTTAGAAATTGCAGAACTCTTTTTGTGGCTACCATGAGAATAGAAGTTCTATCTTAGGATGACTCGATTTAACAAGGCAAAGGGCTATTGTGCTTGGACGGGGAGGAGTGGCACGAGCTTCGATTGACCTCCTCATCTACTCTCTTTGAGGGTACCACAGTTTTCAACACATGATGCAATATGATAAAGCTTGACCATCTCCTCAAATTTTCTTCTTGTGGGTCCCACTTTGACAAGATTCTCATAGTACCACTAATAGAACTTTTGGATTTCTCTCGGATCACTTCTAGCAAGTTGTGATTTTGTTTTTGCTTCCTCCTTTTTAAGCCTCTATAGCAAATAGATCTTAAATTGATGTACACCACAACCACTTAAAATAGGATACAAAATGGTGAGCATTCTCAAATGCATGGAATCTGAATAGGTAAAAGACTTTGGTTCATCAGTTCAACCTCATTGGCAACGCGAAGGATGGGAACAATCGAAGCGAAGGATGACAGCATGAACTTGTTGTCCGTGGTCAGCTTCTCTTTCCGCCATCAAGCATTGTCGGCAACAACGTCATCATCCTAATCGACATCTTCTCCCTTTAGAAGCGGCAGAGGCAATAACGTATATGCTTACATGGTTTCAGATAGGAACAGTGCGGAAGAAGAAGAAACATGAGAGTTTGGAGGCCTTTGTATACTGTGATCTCGTCGTTGATTTCCTGGCTAGCACTAATCTTGATTGTAACGCGAAAATTGCGGGCAGGAGAGGCGTAAACAAGGGTTCTCGGCAAGAAAGAGGAGCTTCGTAAATCAGGATTCCTTCGTTGCCTCCCCCACGATCAATCCCATCATCTGCGTACGTAAAAACAAAAAGAAGGCTGCGATGTTGGAGAAGGCTTCGGTTCTGTGGGGTTTTCTTCTTTTTTGTAGCCGAGCCTCTCATCTTTTTTAACAGGGAAGAGGGAACGGTTACATTTTTTTGAATAAAGCGTTATAAAAAAAGGAACATTCCATAATTTAATTTAATTAATTATTCATTTTTTTTTTAACAATATCACTCTATGAACTCTCATTACCTTGAACTCCTTCCAAGTTAAGAGTAAGATTTGTTTCTCATCTTGATGAAGGAGTATGTGTCCTTGTAGCCATTATGATGTATGCACACATCAAACATAGTAAAATCCTAGTTGAGAGAGTCATAAAATTAAATAGTTTGAAGGTAGCACATCATAAATCTATCTGAAAAAAGCTTACAAGTTACGAAAAGGATAAGTTTAATATAGATATCTATAGACACTTGAAATATGGCAAAGTTTAGTTGCACATGCTCCTCAACAAGTATGCACACATGAACCAAAACCAAGAATCATAGTCTGACCCATGTTTAGATTAAGCCAAATGATATCTTAATAGTAAAAGTAGTTATTTTAATAGATTATTTGTATTTAAGTTGGATAGTCATTATGCTACTAGAAAATTTTGATTTTCAATCTAACTAGAAAATTTTGGATTTCAATTTAAATTCGATGATATGAATAGAACTAAATTCAGAAGAAAAATGATGGATTTCAACTTCAATTGAAATCCCTTTTCTATATATAGGGTTAGGAGAGTTTTACTTTCATTGTATAATGAGTTCTAATTAAATCAAGATTTGCTATCCATCATTTTCTCTCTATTTTCTCCATTCTTACCTTTTTGGAGAACATGCTATGTTGAAATCAAAGATTTTATGTCAAGAGGAACTGTGTCTTCTGCATCATCAACAGCAACAAAAACAATAACACTTTATCCAACTAGCTATATCTGCTGCATCAGTGAAAGAAAATATGTTCCAATTCAACTCTGGAGGCTTTCTAGCATCTGGTTGATGACACGTGAAAGAAATAAGGAGTCTTTCTAGCATGCTCAATAATGAAACTGCTCCAAGCAAAAGCCTAAGAGTGGAATCCCAAACCGAACATCCCAAGGCAATCAAATCACACAGAAATTCCTTCTGAATAGAGCATTTAGAAATCAAAAGACTTCGGCTACAAGTTTGCAAATTTCCGTACTACAGAATCAATATTAGTTATTTTTAATCCTAAAAACTTGTTATTAAAGTAAACAAAAATGATGATTATCATTGCATTCATTTAAAACAGCATAGATCTCAAAATATATAACAGAAGTAAAATACAGTCAGAGACAAGGAAAAGAATAACAAAAATACGGAACAAACCATGTCCTTTGAGACCACCCTAGGTGCACCAATAATGACCTCATCCACATAACGACACGCCAAAATGCTCAAGCTTCTTTCATGAAGATTCATGATTGGACGATGAGCTCCTTGGCTAGAACTGCAAAAGATATATTCTTGAATATATAAAGAGACACCGACTCTAGGAAAGGGTGAAAAAAAAAAACAGCAATTTAAGTCCAGCTTTTTCATCATAAAAATTATCGCATATAGCATCCAATTCTTTAATATCAAATTAAAAAAGAGCACTATTACCACTTCTTAAAAGTCAAATTCACCTTTTTCATGTTTAAAACACCAAAGTGCTATGCATGTAAATATAAAAGTTTAGGAGTGAGACATGTAAATACATAAGAATTGTGTGCTACGTATGTAAATTTATGTATTATTTAATGCAGTGTTTCTTCCAAATGCATGTTTGTGTATAGCCTACACTTAACACAAAAAATGTAAACAAGCTTGCTAATCGAATAATAGAATAGTCGTTAAAAGGAAAATAGAAAATAGATATAGATATAAAATTAAATAACCAAATGACCTGACAGTTTGATCGGTATGAATTCCAACCAATAAAAAGTCTCCAAGTGCTCTAGCATGCCTCAATATCTATACAAAATGAACGTCAATCAGTCTCAGAAAGTTAGATTAAAAATAAAAGAAAGAAGTAAAAACATATTAAAGGAAACACTTTCAAGAGTACAAATATGTAGCGTGAATTCATCTATTCTAATTTTTTAGCCTTTGAAAGCTAAATTAATCAACTTTTAGAATTGTGTGCTTCATATAAGAAATGAGCTGAAGAATGCAAGGAGGAGAAGTAAAGCACATGATTCATTCTTACAAACTGGAATATCACCAGAGAGACACAGGCGAATACAAATCTTAATGCTTCATTGCCCACTCTGGCTGGCTACAGTCCAGGACTTTTATACATGAAGTAGAATATTCTAGATGATGTATAAAGTGAGGGTATTACAGTAATAATACTAAGAGTACATATCATTGTAATCATGGGTAGTGGAGGCGTCCTTGCTGCTGTGGGAGGTAGGCCCTCAGGTGTGGGCTGTAGGTTCGTTATCCCCATCCTTCCCCCCTCCCACCCTCTCAAGCTGATGCTTCTACATTGAAGGGTCAGCTTGTCACGAAGGGGAAGAAAGCGAGGAATTGGAAGGGACTTGGTAAATATGTCGGAGGGCTGCCCGTTTGTAGGAATATGTTCAACAGCAACTTTGGAATGAATTTTTTTCCGAATGAAATGATAATCTATCTCAACATGTTTCATGCGGGGGTGGAAGGCGGGGTGCATGCAATTGCCAGAGCCAAGGTGTGGTCACAATGAATTTTAGTCGGATATGTAAGCGACACATGAAGGTCGAGAAGTAAGCATCGTAGTCATATGACATCGGTTGTTGCTGTAGATAGTGCTTTATACTCAGCTTCGATTGAGGAGCGGGCCACGATGGGTTGTTTCTTGACTTGTCAAGAGATAAGGTTAGGACCAAGGAATGAGCAGTGGCCCATAAAGGAGCGGCGGATCGTTGGATTGCTAGCCCAACTAGAGTCGAAATAACTACGGAGAATAAGAGGTCATTGTTGGAGAGGAATGCCAAAGTCTAGAGTTCCTTTGATGTACCGGAGGAGACGCTCGAGTTGTTGAAAATGTGCACACAGTGGTTGTTTTAAGTGTTGGGATAGGGAATTTACAGCAAAGTTGATGTCTGTCCAGGTGAGTGTCAAATACTGTAGAGAGCCAATGAGGTTGTGGTAGTGGAGTAGATTGGCAAAGGGTTGTTGTAGTTCAATATTGGTAGATTGCATTAACGCCATCGGGTTAGATATAGGTTTGCAATCTTCCATGCCCTCCTTTTGAGAATCTTTGATACACAATGGGGTTTGGTTAAGAAGAAGAATTCTTGGTGTGTGGTGTATGTTGATCCCGAGAAATGTTGAAATGGAGCCCAAATTCTTCAAGAGAAATTCAATTTTAAGTGCTGCCAGAAAATTGTTTATCTTGCTTGTGATGTTCCCTGTCACCAAAATGTCATCAAAGTATAATAGGAGATCTATAATGGTGGAGTTATGCTCATATATAAAGAGTGATGGATTGGCTTGACTTGTGCAGAAGCGAAGATGAGATAGTTTGCCTGTGAACTTGGTAAACTATAAATTGCTTTCCCTAATAGACAAACATGATTTGGTTGTGTCATCAACGTAGCCCGACAGTTGTTGCATGCACACTGTTTCTTGAAGTTCCCGTGGAGAAATGCATTGGTGACATCAAGTTGGAAAATTGACTAGTGGAGATTAACGGAAACCGTTTGAAGAGTTTGGCTTCTTGGATGTTTAGCCACAGGGCTGAAAGTTTCGGTATAGTATAAATCATACTCTTGCTTGCATCCTTGAGCGACTAATCGTGCTTTGTACTTTGAAATGGTACCGTGGGGTTGACGATAGATTTTGTATGTCCATTTCCTGCCCAAAATTGATTAATTGAGTGGGGGTGGTACCAAAGTCCATGTATGCTGTTTGTGGAGAGCTTAGAGCTCTGTTAGCATGGCCTGTCTCCAGTGATGGCGTTGGAGGGCTGCTCTGAAATTGGGAGGTTCTGATTCATGTGCTGAGATGTGGGCAAGGTTGAAGATGTGTTTGGAGTTATTGAAGATGATGGGAGAGTAGAAGTAAGTGGTTGGCTGTGATTAATATTCGGTGGAGAGAGATTGGAGATTATTTGGGATGGATTAGGTAATGTTGTTGGAGTAATTGAAGATGAAGAGAAAGTAGAGGCAGGTGGTTGTTTGTGATTAATATAGAGGGATTGGAGATTATCTGGGATGGATTAGGTAATGCAGTGGAGACGCAGGGTGCTGCAATAGTGGACTGTTTGGAGGAGGAGGGAAGTGACGTGAGAATGAGAGGGATGGGTGTGTGAGTATTGGTGGGTGGGTGATGATTAGTGTTGGGTGGTGATGTTTTATAAGGGTAGTGATTTTCATAAATGTAACATCTCTAGATAGAATGATTTTGTCACTCGGTGGATTAAAGAAATTGTAGCATTTGAAATTGCTTGGGTAACTGAGAAACACACATAACTCTAATCGTTGATCTAGTTTGGTGCGGTGTTGCGACAGGAACCAGGGAAAGCAAGTACATCTGAATGCTCTCTGATGTTCGTATGTTGGAGGATGTTTGTGAAGATGGTATGGAGAGTGGTTTTGGGTGTTGGAAGAAAGCATCCTATTGATAAGATGTACCACGGTTACAATGGTATCAGGCCAGAATTTTGGTGGGAGATTGAATGTGGCGAATAATGATTTGATCCTATGAAGGATATGCCTATGTTTTCATTCGGCGAGGCCAACAATTTTGTTGAGTTGCGTATGGGCATGAAAACTCATGAATGATACCTTGTTTGGGTATTCATCGAGGAGATGGTTCTCGTATACCCCCCTCCATCGAAGCAGAGAATTTTAATTTTAGTGTTGAATTGCGTTTAGACTTGATTTTTAAATTGTATGAAGTGGGTTATAGTTTCAGATTTATGAATCATTGGGAACACCATGTATAACGAGTAGCATCATCCACAAACATTATATAAAAATTAAATCCTTGCAAAAAGTATGTGGGGATGGTCCCCATACATTGGAATGAATTAGTTCTAAGGGGAGATAAGTATGATTGCTAGAGGAAACAAAAGGTAATCTATGTTGTTTGGTCGTATTATATGAATTGCAGAAAGTAGCATAACATGGAATGCGCAAGTGGGGATGCTGATTTGGAGAGCAAGAGCTTACGTGTGGGGAGCAGCCCTTGGTAGCAGTTTTGTATGGGTACGTTGTTACCTTTGACAATGAAAATTTCTTCATGGCATTTATAGGTTTCGGGATTCTGGAAGGAGTAGAGATTTGCTATTAAATGATTCAAAGCTCCTGTATCAAGGTACCTCCTGCTCGGCAGTTGATGAGCTAACCAATGTTGCATGAGATGTTGGCTGCTTGGGTTGATAACTGAGGTTAGTGCAATACCAACATTCGGAGGCGAGGTGTCCTAGTTTGAGACTGATTTGGCAACTAGTGGCATTATTGACTTGTAAGGTTTGGAATTACCCCCATTAGAGTTTCAGTTGATATTGTTTTTTCGTCCCCTATCTCTGTAGCTAGTGCGTCCTCTTCCTTGTTGCGAGTAGAGCGTCAAATGGTTCTGTTTGCTGAATTTTTCTGGTGTTGTCACTTGCTATGTTTATCTCCACACTATGAAGCAATGAATATAAATCCTCAAGGCTAATAGGTGTAGGGAGGTTCTGATCACTATTTTAAATGCTTGGTAGGCCGGAGGTAATCATTTGAGAATATATAGAATGACGCCTTCCATATTGATAGATGATCCAGCTGCTGCTATAGTGTCGACTAATACCTTGATTTGAATCAGGTATTGTGTCATCGTTTGATTCCCCATGGCAAAGTTGTGGAGCTCATTTTTGAGTTGGATTTACCCGGGATCTATTTATAGCTCGAAGACATTTCTCAATAGCTTCCCATATTTCATGGCAGCTTCGTAGATTGATGATGTAGAGCAGCACAGTGGTAGAGATGATGGAGAGAATGGCTGCAACGAGGTTCTTGTCAATTAGGTTCCAAATACTGTAGCAGGGTTGGGAGAGGTAATATGCCAGTGCTATTGGTAATTTAAGATTGGGGGTTTTGCGTTAGTGCTATCAATGAACTCGGCAAATCCATTTGCATTGATTACTTTTAACACTTGAGACTTCGATAGGGAGTAATTGTCCGTAGATAGCAAAATATTCACCACAAAAATGATGTTTGAGACCAAGAATTTCAGGGATGGGGGTATTTGCAATTCCTCGATCTTCAGGGCTGCGAGGTTGTAGCTGAGGGCAGAAGTGGTCGATTCTTCCATAATTGCTGTGAAGCTCAAACTCTGATACCATATAAGAAATGAGGTGAAGAATGCAAGGAGGATAAGTAAAGCTTATGGTTTCGTTCTTAGAAACTGAATATCACCAGAGAGGAACAAGTGAATACATTTCTTAATGTTATGATGGAGCCCAGTCCGCCCAACCCGACTCCCGCTTCCGCTCTGTCGCAACCACGATCCCGCTCCCGCTCCTCTGTCGTGAATCATCGTGACATCTCCTGCGACCCCGTTGTTTCGCGAACCACTCCCGCCTCCGCTCGCGTCTCCCGCCTTTCCTTAGCCCAGAAGCATCACTTCGCCTCCTTTTCACGATAAAAGGAGTGGCTCTCCTTCAGTTTAAGTGATGGCCTTTTTTGTGTTCTTCTTCTATACTTCTGCTTCCACAGGACAGAGGAAGAGAAGTGCAAGAAGTGGTTCCATGCGGCAGAGGAAAAAGAAGAAGATTGTTCTCCCTTGTCTTCTTCTTGGTCGCTTGTGGCAGAAGAGAAATTTGATTTATTTCTCTTGTACGTTTATCTCGTTTATCTTCTTCGGTGCTTCGGTGTATCTCGGTGTAGAGAGAGAAGAAGAAAGGGCAAGGAAGTGAGAGATCCCTCTTGTAAGTCGAGGCCTGGTGTAAATTCCTCAAGTAGTAAAATCCTCAGCAACTCTGTGGACGTAGGCAATTTGTCGAA